GCAGAGGCACAAAGAAGCCATATACTATCCTCCAAGTTGGACATAAGGTGCCACAAGGGTGCCCTATAAAGAGGCAGGCAATCTCTATCTGATGCAACAGGAGGCACCAGTAATAACAGAAACATTAAATATATTATTGGGAACTTGAACCAAAATCAAATTTTACTCTATTAGGGACTGTTGCTTTTTTAAAAAATACCTTGAGATATAAGCATTAGAAGTCATCACTTTGTGCAAGGAAGAAAATGAATAAAGTTTGTGACCTTATTCCTTCCAAATACCTGATGTCATTCACTTCAGGTACCTGAAAGATGAAAAACAGTGCAACTTTCAAAAATTTAATGGACTACTCTCAGTATGAGAGACTTTACATAGCATCTGTCAACTTGAAAATTAAATTGGTAACTGAAATAAGAAATCTCCTAGAGAACACACATAACCTAATCCTAGAAAAGGCTCTCTTTAGAAAGCAGGTGTTTCTAAGAACTGCATAAAGGCTTCCCATCTTGAACACAGCTTCCACTAATACCAAGGGGAACAATGTGTTTTAAGAGGAGACAACAGGGCTCCCTTAAAGCAGGAAGATTTATCCTTCCTCAGAAAGTGATGTACTTTGGTAACCTCAACATTCATTTAGGGGATGATTTTTCATTTGCTTGTCTGAATAATGAAATCTAAATACAGCTAGATTGCCATGTAGGTAAACAAAGGCAATTTAATAAAAGTCATGACACTGGAGCTCCTCAAACCACTAGGCAGCAATTTTATGAGTGTATCATCACAATTGTGCCCGGGACTTTTAAGCTTAATCAGCAAAATTCGTCAATTTAAAAGAGAAAGGAAATAATACAAGAATTTGACTTTATAAACCAGGTGCTTCAAACAAAAACTAAAAATTTTAAAGTTAAACAAATTCATTTTAAAAAGTTTTTTGTTTTTAATCCATAGTCTTTACTCTTAAGTTCTTTGTAAACTATCATGCACATAGAAACCTTGGTATTAGTTGGAATCGGCCTGGGTCTTATTCAGTGGGGGTTTACTTAACTAAAAGTAGCACAAACATTTTAAAAGCAATCTCAATTTTTCGGATACGGCCAAACCAAGATACCAATAACATCATCTGAAATCTCTGCAGAGACTATTTATAAAAACATGGAACAGTTTTTTTCTGTCAAAAAAATATAATCATGATAGAGTGGAAATATCTAACTGTATCACGTTTTTTAAGAAGTATAACTACTGATGGTACTATGCAAGTCTTTATCCCATAACTGACATAGGCTTAATCCCCCACTAAATATTACAACATCTCAACTCATCCATAGTCTAAAATGAAACATCCAGAGAGTGACCCTTAGTTGAGCCTGGGGACTGGATCAATTCCACTTTGTTGTTTAATCTGAACCATTATTGCTTTTGGCTAATTCATCTTGCTGAGGACTTTCCAAATAAAAATACTCTATATTCTGTCAAGCAAAAATGACACTGAAAGATAAAAATGGGTATAGACAAAATAAGGAACAACTGAATTTAAATGTTCATGATTTGAGTTTAAAGCCTGTGGGAGTATAATATTCCTCATAGACATGTTTGCCACGATAGAGCTTCCTTGTTATCCCAATTTTGTTCTGCTGCTTCAGAAAAGAAAATTCAGCTTTTATACATTTGTCTCTCAATAACTTTCAAAATCTAAATATATTACAAATAAAGCATCTTACATTAATAACTTACAGTGAAAACTACATTTATTTATTGCCTTTTGGCAACTTTGGGGCTGTTTCTTCTAAGCGTAAACTTCACACTAGCTTTTTTCCCCCAGTTAATATGTTAATATTAATATTGAGAAAATTTTAAATTCTCGTTCACTTGGATGTATATTTCAGAAATACAACTTCATACTTTGCAGATGAGTGAAACACAGTAAAAACTTTCTAATTCTTTTGTTCATCAATTCCACAAATCTCAAACTTCTTTCAGCTGAAATATTAAAATTTTATTCATTCTTCAAGTAATAAGAACAATTCTCTGTTACAGAATTGCCACTGTATTATATAGCAATGTATTTTTCAAGGACTATTAAAGCTAAAAGGGACTAAAAACGTAATCTGAGAATCTTCAAGCCAAAAGCTGCTAAAATAGATAACTGGCCTCTATTTAGATGAAGAGAATAAATGAAGAAATAAAAGACTGAAAGATTTAATACAGCTTCCAAAGGCTCCCAAGGGAACCATTTATAAACTGGGAGAGTCTCCTGAACCAGCCTACTGGTTCAGTGACCAATAATTATGGACATTAGATGTATTGACTGGTCTATATATCTTTCATTTGGTAAAGTATTTTAACAAAATGAAAGGTTTTTTTGCTAGTTTTTAAGACTAAAGGGCATGTGTCATAACAGGGGACCTAATTACTGTAAGCCAGAATGGTTGTTGAAATGTCAAAATGTAAGACTGAATGAGGCTATTTAAACATTTTAGTATATTTTGTCTTACTGAAATTGAGAATTAAAAAAAAAAACAAACTGTCAATGTGACTAAATGCGTAACTAATTACTTGAAATAAAAAGATTACTTGAAATTCAAATTAAGAAAAATCTATTTAAATATATTTGTGGGTGATAATCTCCATCTGCATCCATTTATATAAAACTTAAAATGCCAAAAAAAAAAAAATAAAGACCAATATTAATCCTTTGCTTCTGAATTAGATGAAATCGCTGACATGCTAGATGCTTCCACTATTAGAATATACTCTTTATGAAGAGAACAACTGCAGGGGCTTTAACATCTATTATCATGGGTGAACATCTCTGTTTACTTCTAAAGTACATCATACCTATTTGGTAGTTAAAAAAGTGAAAATAAAAGCTCTTGTATAAAATGTCTGGTTTTAAAAAGGCAATTTATTCTGCATTCTGAAGTTTAAGCCCTTTAGATACCTCAAAGTTATCTTCCTGGCCTTAAGAAAGATAGCTATGTTTAAATACTCTAAACTGGAATATTCATGTTTAGTTACACTTGTAATTTCTAATGTATGGGATAATATAGCTATCTCTTTGCAGTATTTTCAATATGTCCTGGTAAAAATTATGCATCTAGGTATCCCTAAGATGAATTTGAAATAAATCTAAATACCACTATATATACAATTATCCCTTGCAAATTTGTTTCCTAAAACACATCCAGTATCCTTAAAGTACATATATCAAGATAAATGTAGACTCTCACTGAAATAGAAAAAGGCCTTTGTATCATTTTATGTTAAATACTGGTTTGTTACTGGTATTGGTAAGATCTGGGCAGCAGACAACTAACCAGATAAGCATTTTCACAGTATTTTGAGATTTCCCATAAAACCTGGCAATTCATAATTACCAATGAAAATCTAAAATTTCTACTTCGGAAAGAATACCCAGTGATGAGTAATCCTTCATTCTGAGAAAACAGAGTATCTTACAACTACCGAAATTGTGCTTGGCTCTCTTAATGCAAAGTTTTCAAGGTAGGGAATGAGCTAAAAAACAAAACACTTGTAACCAATAAATCTGCAAACAATTCTTATACGTTTATCTTCTTTATTTTTCTTTCTTTCCTTTCCCCCCCCCCTTTCCTCTTTCCCCCCCTTTCCTCTTGCTCTTTCAAAAACAAAAGACCTCTTGCAACTAAGGGTAACAATAATTCCTGATTATATTTTTACCTATTCTTGTCAATATAGATTTAAAAAATAACTTTGAGATTTATCTATTGGTAGGAACGACAGTTTTCAAAGACCACAATGTGACATTAAAATAAAAATTCCTGACCTTTCCAGTTGAGAAACAGCAGTACTATATGAAGTAAAGTAATTCAACCCATCAGTAAAGAAGCATAAATGGTGGAAGCCTATCATAACCTGTGTATGTTCATTCTCCTGAAGGTAACACACCTATGTTTCAGAGCAAATGGGTAAAAACAAGTTCATGAGTGAGGTAAAGAGCTGAAAACAAGTTAAGGACTGCAGAATATGGGCAGAGACAATCTTAACCTAAAACAATCCTAAAAAAATGTTATTTCCTTTTCCTTTTTGGGGGGAAAAATTACAGAATTAGCCAATTTTTAAAACTGAAACAAATCACTTTAATTAAAAATATATACATTTAGCATAGTATAGAACCTGAACAAAATTCAGATCTTGTGTTGACTAAAGAACTGTGTTTTCTGTCTCTTTTCTAATCAAATCAGGTGGTCTCATAATTATTAAACTTTGGGTATCTACACAGAAACTTATTCAAATGTTCACTGTTCACGGACTTACAAATATTTAGGATAAATATTAAAGATGCTTTAATGGCACCAGATAAAAAGTATACCCAAGTCTAGAGAATCATAAAAATTTCAACTACACACCAAAAAATTTCATATTTTTAGCAGCAGAAATGGTAATATTCATTGCTTTAAGGTTTTCAGTTTCTCATTAGTATTAACAATTTTTTTCTCCCAGATTTATAAGTCATAGATGAAAATCTTACAGCCTATTCTCATCTTTTACATTGTTGCCTACATTGTGTAAAAACTATAGTAATTGCTTTTAATAACTTTGCAATGTCTAAAAATATGTAAGGACAATGTATTGCTGTCATATGGGATTTAGTAAACAATCCAGTTGGCTTAACAATGTAGCCTTGGCCAGCTGCAGTGATCCTAGCAGTTTGGGAGGCCAAGGGAGGAGGATCAGTTGGCCTAGGAGTTCAAGACCAGCCTGGGCAGCACAGTGAGATCTCACCTCTATAAAAAATAAAAATAAAATTAGCAGGTGTGGTGGAGCATGCCTATAATCATAGCTACTCAAGAGGCTGAGGCAGGAGAATCGCCTGAGCCCAGGAGTTTGAATCTGCAGTGAGCTATGACTGAGCCACTACACTTCCAGCCTGAGCAACAGAGTGAGATGCCACCCTCTTTAAAAAAAAAAAAAAAAAAAGCAGCAAAAAAAAAAAAAAAAAAAAAAAAAGAATGTAGCCTCAACAGAGAATTCTTTATTACATCCAAAAGAGCACAACGAAAACATCCCCAACAATACATAAACCTATATGTAAAATATAGAATATCTCTAACATTTTAATTTATATGGCAGCAGGCCAATATATGCAAGAGGAGAACACATTGATGGGGCAAGAGGAAAACTGATTAACTGATTTGGGCAATGACTTAAACTAGACATTAACATTCAGAGACCAGGTAAACAGCAATTTTAGTCAGAAAAGCAATATGAGAAGTTCCTATGAAGCTGAGATTTACATATTTCACTCTCCATTCCTGGTCATTTCATCCACAGCTTGACTGTTGTCAATCATAGCTCTTTACCTTTGGAGTGGTACTATAAAGGTACAGAAAATGCCCACTGCAGTACCAAAATTTCACCAGGAAAAAACATAATAGAAATGACAAGGCTTTAAAAAAAAAGTATGCTGGATTTCGGAAGTATTTACTCTAATAATTTTTAAGAAAGCTTAAAGAAGGTAACAACAGGCTTCACAAAATATTATACAACATCTTGTGTACAGCAGTAAGTATCTATTCAGGCCATTTGTCAAACTGTTTAGTAGTTTCTTGTGTACTTTTTCATCTCAAGAAGGTCAATAATCATCTGATTTCCTCTCTAGCTAATGATCTGTTGTTAGCCTACTTTTAACAATGGAAGAAACTGGTGTATGTATGTTTTAAGTCAACCAGTTCTCCTTAGGTCTCGTAGTTTCTGTTTCAACATCATGTTATCATGTACTTACAGAAGCAATCTCTCATTTATGAAAAATAAAATTAGTTTCGGGCTCAGAAAGTAAAAAGGGAAATTCTTTCCCAATCTCCCCCTCCCCTGCTGCCCAGCTTTTTTTGTTTAAAAAATTAAATTTAATTTAAATGTACAAGACCAAGCACAGGCACTTTCCAAAAAACAAAAATGAAGCCAAATCACAAAATTACTCAATAGTTATAGAAGACAGCTCTGACTTTGGGGGGTCATCTCTGGTTGCCTCGGCACAAGCACTGGTCTTTGGCTGCTCGGGCACTTCTTCCTCTTTTTCTGCCAGCCCACCAAGAGACCCCAAGGGAAAAGTGCTTTCACAATTCTGGGTCGAGGAGACCTGTGAAATTACAGGCATTTGAACAGAGGAGTTGCTTTCAAAACCGTGTTCTCCAAGATCATATTGAACAAGGGTCTCTTCCTGTTCCTGGTTTAAGTAGTCCGGCACTAGGAAATCACTAGATAAGAGGCAAAGGATGAAATACAGAATTAATTTTCAAAACAGTAATGGATAAGCAATAATAAAAAGCTCTGATTTATGCAACAAAATTGGGACTTTTCATTTCACTAATTGTTCCGTGAAGATTCAAACTCAGGAACTTTCAACTTATAAACTCTCCTAAATATGAACCAAAACATCCAGTAAAACCAAAATGTATCAATCTCCCCTACCACCAATACATCAGATGATCACTTTTATTATAACTCTGGACACCCTAACACCTTTCTTGTTCTATGTAGAGGAGTTTCCATATACAAAACAAATGTAGGATGCTCACTTAAACAAAGATCATCTGAGTAACTTTAATGCTTAACATTTCTTGATTATATACTGAGTAATAGATACATAAACCTAGCTTTATATTACTAAACTTGACACTAGTTAAGAAATTAAGTCCTTATGCATAAGTGACCTGATACATAATCTACTATATAAAGTTGTGAAATGTAGAAAATAATGTATGCGTATCTTGCTATTACATTTGGTATATGAAAATAAATTATCTTTGAATCAGAATTTGGAAATGAATGCCTTGAGATTGGCTATGTGTTAATCCTCAAGAAGTATTTAATTTTTGATACCCACAGGAAACATGGACAGTAAAATATACTAAAACAGTGGCTATTTTCCTTAAGTAATGAGATCAGAAAAGATTTTAAACTTCTTCCTTATACTTTTCTGTATTTCCTAAATTTTCTACTTATAAGTAATTTTTTGGTAGTTGAAACCAAGCATGTAAAATAACTCTTATCTTAGAGGCTTTATTTAAATCTTATTACTGAACTAAAAATTTCATTATACCAAAATTGTCAATAACATATGTAATTAGACTTGATCAGTTTATAATTTTATTGTTCAGTATTAATAAAAAATTAAAATCTGTTCATCTGCAAAGCAATTTAGAATGCCCTATGTTATATTTTCTAAGAAGTCTTCAGGTGTTAGAGAAGAGTGGAGAATACAGGGCTCTGTATAGGGAAGATAAAGATAACAGGAGTAGTTAACAGGAAAACTATTTTAGTCCCAAGCAAACTATGTTTAATATGATTATGTATAACGTAAGGTTTAGTAAGATGGCAACCACACATTCAGAATTAGAGATGACTGCATTAAATAAAACGAATGTCTGATTTGAGGGGAAAAACAAAATCTATGCAGGAATAATTTGGAATTTGTTTAAAAATAAGGTTTTTCGGATATCAGGTGGATATTTTGTTCCACAAAAAAATAAATAAATAGATAAAAATAATAAGGTTTTAAGTCAGGTGTGGTGGCCTACACTTGTAACCCCAGCAGGAGAACTGCTTGACCCCAGGAGTGCACTATGATTGTGCCTGTGAATAGCCACTGCACTCCAGCCTGGGCAACAATGCAAGACCCCATTTATTCAATTAAAAAATTAAAAGGGGCCGGGCGCGGTGGCTCAAGCCTGTAATCCCAGCACTTTGGGAGGCCGAGGGGGGTGAATCACGAGGTCAAGAGATCGAGACCATCCTGGTCAACATAGTGAAACCCTGTCTCTACTAAAAATACAAAAAATTAGCTGGGTATGGTGGCACGTGCCTGTAATCCCAGCTACTCAGGAGGCTGAGGCAGGAGAATTGCCTGAACCCAGGGGGCGGAGGTTGCGGTGAGCCAAGATCGCGCCATTGCACTCCAGCCTGGGTAACAGGAGCGAAACTCCGTCTCAAAAGAAAAAAAAAAAAAAATTAAAAGAATTAAAAGGTTTTAAAAATAAAGGTATTAAAAATGTAAAGAATTGGCCTGGGCATGGTGGCTCACACCTGTTATCCCAGCACTTTGAGAGGCCAAGGTGGGCAGACCACTTGAGGTCAGGAGTTCAAGACCAGACTGGCCAACATGGTGAAACCACATCTTGACTAAATACAAAAATTAGCTAGGTTTGGTGGTGGGTGCCTGTAATCCAAGCTACTCAGGAGGCTGAGGTTGTCGTAAGATGAAATCATGCCACTGCATTCCAGCCTAGGGGACAGAGTGCAACTGTCTCAAAAAAGAAGGTAAAGATTTGTAAAAATTTCATTTTATGAGAAACTAAGGATTCCTACAGAAGTATAATTCTTATAAATGATTTAAAACAACAGTTTTATATCTACAGGAGAATTTAGAAACCATAGTTTAAAGCTTACATTTTTTTCTAAATATCAAGCTTTTTCACCTGTGAAGTGACATGTTTAATCAACAGCAGTTAGTGGCAGAACTAGAACTAGAACCTGATTTCCTTGGATGTGCTATATATCAGAAAGGTAATTCTATTATAAAAGAATAGAACTGTAAACTGAATGAAAACAGGAATGACTTCATGAAATCTAAACCATTACACCCATTATAGTTATTGTTGAAACTTTTCTTACTGGCCAATGGATATTCCTTTATATAGAATTTTTTTTAATAGAGAGAAGTGGTCAAGAATTTTACTAATCTCCAGAGTCTGAAGTAATCCAGTATCACTAAGTATCACCTGACATGGTAAAATTTCCAATAAGATCTAGTTAAGGTCCATTACAGAATTACTTAAACCTTATATTATTTAAAAAATATCTCAAGAGGACAAGTAGTCTATTTCTACAGGACAATATTTTTAATACCAACTATAAAATATTTATAATTTTATATACTTAGAAGACTCAGCAAACTTTTATCAGATCAGGAGTTTAGAGTATGAATAGTGGGGATTTATAACGAATGTGACTGACTAGCTGGCAACCTGATGTAAAAACACAGCAGGCTGCCCTAAAAGCAGGAAAAGAGAGTTTAGAAAGCAGTTTTCCTGGTTGGGTTTTCGTTGTGCACCTCACCTGCTCTGGAAGTAGTTTGCTAGCTCTGATGCTTCATGGTTCAGACTCCTCAGGTGCACGATTAAATTTCCAGAGTTGGTGAACATGGCGCCACATGTTTTGCACTCGTAAATCCGAGGCTTGCGGATAATGTGCCGGGAAACCCTCATGTGGTGTTTATATTCCCCGAAGGAAGTGAAAGTGGCACTACATATCTGGCACCGGAAACAGCGTTTACCTTCATGCTTTAGGCGATGCATCTTTAGCGAGTAAGCCCTGGTGAACTTTTTCCCACAGCGGTCACACTGAAATGGTTTAATTCCTATAAAGAAAAACAAAATATAATCTAAAAACAAAAAATAAACTGAAAAGTCATAAACCTTACAAATCTGTGAATTATATTTCTGTAGCAATAGATCATTTGAAAAGACAAAAATTACCAGCAAAAACATATTCTAATTAGAAAATGTGCAGAATTTGAAAAGTACTTACAAATGAAAAGAAAAAAAGGCAGCAGGGGAGGCAAACTAGGTAATGTCTACTGAAGATGATTTTTGAATACTTTTCTAAATCATCTATTTAACTAACTTCAAAACACAATTTAACTACAGTATGTAGACAGAACCCAAATCTCCATGTAACAGCATGTATTATTTCATTTCATTAGAAAGGTTTGTTTGAAAAGATGTGAAAATCATCACTACCTACTCTCTGTTCCCTATCTCACAGAGAAATGAGAAGAAGAAAGAACGTAATGAGCAAGACAAAACCATCATTTGATAAAATGCTTTTTTGGGGGTAATCGATGTAATATTGCTAGAAATAAGTAAGTTATAAAGTATATTAATAGTCTCCTCAAATTCATTATCTCAGTTTTTTGGGGAAAAAATTTTAAAACCTTTCAAGACACAATCTGCTAACTGAACAGTCACAGAGAATTGGTGCTAGGCCAGGGACTATAAGACCTATCTACAGAACAGGGAAGTGAGATATTAACTCAAACAGCTGAAAACAGCAGCAAAGACCTCTTACTCATCAGAGGTCAGTGTTTTACCCACAAGAATCCTGTTGTCTTTATGTGATTATTGAACTAAAGTTTCAAATCCCTTCTATTCATCTATCCAAAATCTCTCTTACGTTTTAAAAATATACAAACTACAAAGCTGACTCATCAGGGAACATGGAGATTTGAGACTGTAGAATTGAAAGTAAATTAGCAAGAAAATATATTTTAAACACACCTTTTATTTGGGAATAATTTCAAACTTACAGAGACGTTATAAGAAAAACAGCACAAAGAACACCCACATTGACCCTTTTCATGCTTTTATTTGCTTTACCATCTCTGCACTTGTTTATCTCACTTCTATGTGCACACCTAATAAGTCTTTTTATTTACAAATTACTCACTCCATATCACCTTAGGTTATTTTAATCAGAATACTTAACGCCCATGGCAAACAACTTTCTGACACTGCACCATTTCAGCAATTAACCTTAGCTATTCTGTTTTCATTTGATTTCCCAGAGTTTTTTTTCTTTTTTAAACTCAGAAGCACCTGTTTTCTATTTTAACTGGGATTCCAAAATAAAATGTTTCAGAGTGTTTACTTATGTAACAACAGGGAAGGTGACATTACCTGAGTGGATGAGCATGTGCTGCTTTAGGTTCTGAATACGGGTGAATCGCACCCCGCAGGTTGGACACTGAAAAGGTCTGTCTGGACCATTTGGACTTGGTCGTTCTGTACTGCTGGTAGAAGGAGCAATGTAGAGTTGGTAGGGATACTGAACATTTTCCAATCTAAAAAAAACAGACCAAAGAAGGCAACCAGGCTCTGATTTTTAAACTGAATAAACACTGCTATAGGTCAATTTTAAATAAAAAAAGATAAAACACTTAAAGACTTTCTGAAACAGTTTTAACTGTTAGATTTCAAATTTTACTTTAACAATATGAAAAATAATGTTACAGTCCAGAGTGCTTTTGTTTTTTTGAGACAGAGTTGCGCTGTCACCCAGGATGGAGTGCAGTGGTGTGATCTTGGTGCAACCTCCGCCTCCCAGGTTCAAGTGATTCTCCTGCTTCAGTCTCCTTCATAGTTGGGATTACAGGCATGTGACATTACACCTGGCTAATTTTTGTATTTTAGTAGAGACAAGGTTTCACCATACTGACCAGGCTGGTCTCAAACTCCTGACCTCAGGTGATCTGCCCACCTTGGCCTCCCAAAGTGCTGAGATTATGGGCGTGAGCCACCGTGCCCGGCCCAGAATGCCTATTTTGGTTAAACATGGACACACAACCACAGAACATCTCAACTATTTTACCTTAAATGTCCTTAATCTTAACAATCCTTTTCTTCTAACCACTTCTGAAATTTAGGCCTTCATTAATACAAGCCTGAATTAGTAACTCTCTCCATTTGGCTCCACACTCCTCTAATCCATCCTTTCACTGCATCATAGTGTTCTGATCAAATCAGTCCCTTTTCTAAAATTCTACAATGGCTGTTATCTTCAAAATAAAATCAAACCGTTTTGCAAGGTATAGATGATTCCTCATAATATGAACTTTCTATGCCTTTCTAGCCTCATTTCTTGTCATACTCCCCAAACATACCTTATACCATGTACCTACTCATTTTACGAAATGTAGCTAGGAAGTCACATGCTCCTCCTGGAAGCCTTCTTTGATTTATCAGTGGTTTAGGTAGGCATATGTAGGGCAACAGAGCTCTGCAGATCACTTAAGATGATCTGTTTGTCTACCTTCAATCCTTATCCTTCCTCCAAAACCGATTGAGCTCCTTAAGGGAAGGGGCTGCATATTTCATCTCTAAATTTCTACCATGCAGCACAGTATCTAACACAGAACAAACAACCCGATTAATACTTGAAATTAAGGCGGCTAGGCACATTGCTGTTTATGCTTTCATTAATCCATTCAAACGATTCCAGTTCATAACCTCCCTACTAGGTTTAGCTATCCAAGAAAAATTAACCTAGTTTGTGTCCCCTGAATCCTTCAAGTTTGCAACAAATACCATTTTTAAGATCGTCCTGGACCTTCTCTGAGGAAGAATGTAATCATTCAGTAGAGTCTATATTCAGTGTGTGAGACACATATAATAAATAATCAAGGAAATTATCAGATCAGATGATTAAATTAGAAGGATTTAAGAGTGATTGGGTACTGCTTGAGACTGGTGGTCAGGAAAAGTCTCCTTGAGAACTGATAGATACCAAGACAGTAATCTGAAAGTCAAGAATCTACAGCCAACAATGTGAAAATTGGGAGAGAAAGCTTTTCTGGCAAAGGTCCTAGAGTGACAGAATGGCCCAAAGGCAGTACTCCAGGAACTTTCTATGAAAGAAGATCTATGAGGCTAGAATGTAGTATAAGAGGGAGAATGGTCTGAAAGGAGTTTGGCAGAAGTCATATCATGTAGAACTCTAAGGCATAGCAAGGACTATAGATTTTAGGTATGAATAAAGAATGTTAAGAATCTATAGCTTAAAACAGTGACATAATCTGACTTAATTACAAAAGAAATGATGATTTTGGTTGCTACATAGAAAACGGATTAGAATTGGGGAAGAATGAAATTGAGGCTAATTTGAAGGCTATTGCAGTAGTCAAGGCAAAAGATGGTGGTGACCTAGACCAGGGTGGCTACAGTACAGACTGGAAAAGTAGACAGAGATATATTTTGTAGGCGGAGTGGACAGGACCTGCTTAAGGATTAACTATGGGGGAGATGAAGAATGGTAAGGAAAAACATTAATTCTCAGAGATTTGGCTTGAGAAATTAGGGGGATAATGATGAGGTGTACTGAAATGGGAGAAAAGCTGGAGAAGCAGGATTCAGACAGGGAGTTAAGAAATCAAAAGTTCTATCTTGGCCTTCTTCAATGTGAAATGCCCTTTACATATTTATGTGGAAATATCAAGCAGGGAGGGAGTTATGAGTATACAGATCAGACTCTGGCAGATGTTTTTCACAGCAGTACATACAGTACACATTCTGACTTTGCACCCCATACAGTCTGTTTCAACCACTCAACTCTGCTATCCACAAACAATATGTCAACAAATGAGCGTGGCTGTGTTCCAATACTACTTGGTTTACAAATAAAGGTGGTGGGCTGGAATTGGCCTGTGGTTCATAGTTTGCCAACACCTGATACAGATACAATTTAATGCAATGGGACTAGGTAGTTACGGAAATGCTGGAAAAAAGTCTTGTATAGGTGCTCTAATTTATAATGTGATGATGCTACTTCATTACTCTGTGTATACTGAAGTGAGGTTGCAATAAACTTCTACAACTCTGAGATAAAATGCTTGAATTTGGAGTTGTAAACACAACAACCCTTACAAGGTAGTGACATGCTATATTAGTACTGACCGATCATCATCATCCGCAGGAGCATTAGTGCTAGACGTGCTTTGAAGTGTGGGCAACCCCTCAGTAACACCTTCATCTACTGAACCTGTAAGAGAAAGAGGACAACTGTAATCCTTTGGTGTAAATAAAGCCAAGATTGTAACTGAAAGCCATATTATATCTAAGTCACTGACACATATTATCTAGTGTTCATATCCTGAATTATTAATGCGAAATAGTAGTGTTCTATATTTTTAAATGTTTGTGATTTAAAATCACATAGTAATATAACATTTAAGTTCTTCTGGAAATATTTCTGACAGATTTCAGAAACCAGTGCAATTCAAAAGCAAACAAAAATCCACACAAAACTGAACTAACCATTTAAGGAAACACTGATAATTTTTATTTTTAAAAACTTATTTAAGACATACAACTTGTTGTACAACTCTCACACAGAATTTAATAGATAAACACTTGGGCAACCTCCATGCACAAGCCACACAAAAGCACTGCCAGCATCCTGGAAGTCCTCATTTATCCTTCCCTGATCATAAACCCCTCTCCTCCAAAAGCTTTTTATGGTTATCATTTTCCTTCTTCCATCCCCTTACTTTTAAAAGTAATTTTATCTTCAATACAAGTATCCATAAACTAGGGATTAGTTCTTGCTAGAACACAGCTTTGGCTGGACTAGGGCTACTTCTGCACTACAGTGGCAGAGTGGAGTAGCTTTGGTTGTAACAGAGACCATGTGGCAGTTACCGTCGTGCCTTTAAGAGAAAGTTTGCCAAGGCCTGCCATAAACAATACTTTTTAGCATTGTCTGGCTGTTTTATATAAACCGTGTCATACTATAGGTATTCTTTTATCTTGCTTCTTTACTCCAATATTGTGGACTCATCCTTGTTACACGTAACCAAAGTTTATTTTCACTGTTGTATAATTTTCATAATTATTCATTTTACTCTTGATGGACAGCTTTGTGGGTATTAAGAACAATGCTGCTATAAATATCCTTAATGCACATGAGCATGCTTTTCTCATGTGTGGAGCAACTTTTCTAAGACTTTACAGCTTTTACACACTGAGCTTTCAGTTTCATTTCTCCTGGTCTGAGTTGATGAACCAAAGCCCATTTGTGTTTTGGCAAATGTCTTGAAGGCAAAACTGACTTTAGTGCTCTGATGATCTACTTATCTCCCTGGGCCAGGCTTTCTCCTCCAATTTAATCTTGCAGTTCCTGACCATCTTTTCAGCTTTTCAAATACTTGAAAGGTGAATTTTTAAAAACTTAAAATTTGTTGTTTTTAAACAACAATTTGGTGGAACAGCAGAATCAAACAATCTAGCTTATCCTCATTAGGTAATGAACTTTGCCAATTTCTTTACTGAACCCAAATTAGCTGTGTTACACCAAATGAACAAATCTGAGCCTCTGAGAATTTCGGTCATTTAATAGCAAACAAACTTTTGGTTACAATGTTTTAATGAAAATGAAAATGTACTAACTCTAACAGTTTGTACACCACCATATACATGTGAACATTTAATAAATATCATCTGCTAATGAATATACAGGATGAAATTTCCTCTTGATGAAAATCTGGAATCTAATACTTAAGTTTCCCTCTTTGGATCACTTATATTAGCTGTCATTAGGAAACAGGTAAATTATCCATCTAAGTATAAAATTTTTTAAAAAACTAAATTTTAAGGCATTCAAACTTACTTTGTTTAATCATTTGTACCGGAAAATTTGTGACAGGGTTACATTTTGCCTTGACTTCTTAAATGAAGGATACTACATATAACTTACTTTTTGTTTCTTGATGACACCTCAATCATAAAGAACATTCATTATTATACTGTGTTCTAATACATGAATATACTCCAAGGCTTTTGAAAATAGGCAGGATTATGTGTGTTTACATTCATCCCCAATTGCACCCCCATTTTTTCTGGCTTCCCCATTCCATCCCTTCTGATGTGTGTGTAGCATTTCTGTGTCTTTTTTTTCTTTTTCTTACTATCAAATGGCATTTATGCTTTTCCCCATGTTTACTTATGCAACTTATTCCCAGGTCCTTCTGACTTGTTTTTAATCCAGATGTAGGGTAGAGAACCAAATAATGCTACATTTTAAGAAAGAACTGTTTACTTGTCAATATCTTCCCATTCTCAGTTTTTTTCCTTAAAGAAAAGAGAACTAAACATTAACATTTCAATCTGTCCTGGGATAAAAAAACTGGAAAAACCCCAATATTCAGACTTGGTCTCGTGGAGACATAAAGATCTATTTTACAGTATTCTGAACTTATTCAGAGCATAGACAATATTAAAGTTTATAGGCAAAGGCTTGCCAAAAAACACCTGGAGTTGTGGTAAGGGCAGGCCAAGAAGACTGATCTAACTGACATTTGCTTCTCACTATCAGGCAGTCCATACTACTTCTAGGAGGAAGCTGACTCTTGGTGAGGGGAAAATGAAAAACCACACTGTCTTGCACTGATACTAATATCGTCAAACATTTGTTTAAAAAGCTGGTCAAAAAGAACTAAAATGGAGTACAAGATATATCTAGCAGATGGTCCTTCTTCAAACAAATCCATCTCTATATTCTAAAATATCTGGATCCCCCAATTCAATGGATAATGAGCATGCAAAGCAAAAGCAAAGCAACTTTCCCTCACCCATGGCTACTGAATGTACCAACAGCTAAAAATGAAGGCCACTCCAAGCTAAAATGAGTTAAAACAGACTTTCAGAATTCTACATATACTGTAGAGGAAAACACATATTATCACTTATACAGCTATTAGCAAAAAATAAATTTTTTAAGAATCTTTTTTTTTGAGATGATGGTTTTTGCAAATAATAACACAAGTAATCATATGAATTGGAATTTCAAACTGATTTAACAGCAGGATATACACACACACACACACACACACACACACACACACACACACACACACCCCTACATGCAGGATTACTTTCCTGAGGTGATAGTGATAGTGATGTTTCTTCAATTATTAAAATGAAGTTTCCTTTGTGTACTATAGGAATTCTATTCTCAGTGGTAGTGAGAGGCTAAGAATTCTGATCAGATGCTTTTTACCTTGTGAAACAGTAAAAGTGATTCACAGAGACAATCAGCTTTATATGGTTAAGGGTTAGCTTATCAAGACAGAGTGGACTCTCTCCCCAGTTAGAAGTGCTATATGATAACTTCTGTTGCATCAAACTCATGTTGCTACTGCCACTGTTTAGGTATTCAAGATACTTACAAAAATCCTTCTGAAATTGAAAAGTAATTACAGTGGTCATCTCCTATTAAGTATTTACCATGTGCCAGACATTGTTCTAAAGGTTTTCAATATAAGATTTCACTTCATACTTGAAAAAGAGAAGCATCTTCCAACATTTAGAAACAAGTCTGGCACTCATTTAGGAGTGGGGCCTGGTCCTTACGGCCACAGTATTCTCCTGAGGGACATAAACAGTCTCACAGAACAATGTAAGATCAAGTCACTCTATGACCCTTATTAAAGAGAGACTAAAAAATACCTTTATTTGTGCAATTACAAAAATATCAGTCATCCCCATCTCTCTCCAGCTAATGAGTCACTACTGCTATAGATACACTTTAGTCTGCATCCCTAGATAATATTAAGATGTTCAATCATAGAATTATCTCTCCTTTCTGAAATCACCTGTCCTGAGCAAACCTCACTTCCTTGAATCCTCCCTAATGGAGAATAAGCAACCCTGAAGTCACCTAACACAAGACCAAATCCTCTGCTAAGATCTTTTTAACACCTTTTTACTGAGAACCAGCCCTAAAAACCTCATGGTGTATAATCTCCCTTGCTGCAAATGAGCAACAGACTCAACTTGTTCAATCATAGGTGGTCTTTGGCTATAGGGCCCTGGCAGAAATGAAGACCAATGGAGATTCAGCTAAAGTCCTTGTTGCTTTGTCCTGGGATCCTTAATGAGAGGGCACATATAAAATCCCTTTTGAGGTGTCACCTGCCCCTCGTTGGGATGTAAGTTTATGCTGAATTAAGCCTAAATAGTTCAAAGAAGCCCTTCACTGTCAGGTTTGTTTTCCATGAAACAGTCTTTTGAAAATATTTTGGTTATTCAGATTCTGTTGCTCCTTGGTGAAATTGTTTTCTAGTCTAACACCTGCCCTGATGATCATCTGCCTGCCTGCCTACTGTGTTAACGGTCTACAAGAGAAATAAACTATAATAAGAGGATGAACATAGGTTGGATTAGTTCATCTGAACTGGCCCTGGGGGCCAAGTTCAGATCTCTGACTGGCAAAACCATTTCAAAACTTTACAACACAGACAAACTGTGAAAACATTATGGTAAAAACAGAAGCCAGTCAGAAAAACAAAAACATGTATTTCATGATCCCACTGATATAAAACATCCAGAATAGGCAAATATTACTATTCACAGTGGTTTGCCTAGGAGTGGTGATAGGGTTAGGAAGGACTAGGGAGTCATCTTTTTAAGTAACATGTTAGGCTCAGCCTAAAATCAGCAGTCTTTTTTTGCCTTTAAATTTGTTGTATTTATTGCTGCAAGTTGAGGATACTGAATTTTACAACCTTTCCAAGGACAAGTGGCAACAGAGGAAACTTAAAACAGCAGGTAAAATCCCATCTGAACTAATTTCACAGATAATCAAATTATTATTTTAAAATCTGAGAGTAAATATACTAAACATTATATTCTCCATCCCTAAAAAGACAAGATACCTCTCAGAGATGTTCTTTAACAAATTAGTGAGTAAAATTAAGTATTCCTACAGAACTTACAGGAGAAAAAGTACCATGCACATCTTCCTTTTCTCCCTCTCAGATTTATTGACTGCCTTCAATATTCCAAGGAATTTACTCTCTTTTCTGTATGGCTTTGTTTTAGTATGTAAGTTTAGAGTTAAGATAGGTTTGTTCAGAGCAACATTTGCCATGAAGGCAAGGAAAAAAAAAATCACAGTAGGGTCAGGTGCAGTGGCTCATGCTTGCAATCCCAGCACTTTGGGACGGTGAGGCAGGCAAATCACTTGACGTCAGGAGTTTGAGA